ATCCCAAGCGATGTTACAACGATAAATTTACTAGACAAAATTAGCTGATCACCTGGAATATACGGCGAGATGAAAATATTTTACCTCTATGGATTAAATAAATTTTTTGGTTTGAAATTAAGGGCACCTGAAGAAGGCTGGGGAATAAACGGTTGAAACGTCATGACGCTAACAACAAAATGAGGAGACTAGACCGAAATAATCGTCGTATGATAATGACTGACGTATGAAACTTTAAGACAAATGTGTGCATACACACACACACAAACGAAAAGAAACGAACAGACACACACAACTATATATATATATATATATATATATATATGTGTGTGTGTGTGTGTGTGTGTGTGTGTGTGTGTGTGTGTATATATATATAAATATTAGAATTAAAAAAATAACCTCATTCGAATAGCTATTTCGACCCCAAAAACTTAATTGAAAGAATAAAAAGTCTTTCGGTCCTGTCACTGTATCTAACCAACACATGACAGTGGATAAAGACGTTGGTGAGTGTGAGTTCAATACCCGTTTAAGGCAGTGGAGAACTTTTAGAGGGAAATTAACAGGAGATAACTGATAACAGACATCCAATAAACATGGCACGTGGAACTAGAACAGTCTACCGCAGTGAGCGAAATAAAGGATTAAGTTCGATATTGCAACCACCTGAAGAAGGCCGGAGCGTACAACGGCCGAAACGTTGTAATAAATATTGCGACAAAGATGAGGACAATAGTCCGAATAATGTAAATAATGTACATAATACCTCATCTCAGAAATATAGATAGTTATTATTTCTAGTAAGTAAAATATTATGGTGTATTTCAGATAGAAATTATATAGTTTGGAATGTCAAATATACGCTCGAATTTTTAAAATTTTCTTAAAAGCGGCCATTTCTTAATTTTAAGAAATTTATAAACAAAACAACATTATCGGGTTTAAAAAACTTCCAAAAATAAAATATATATTTCTGACAAGTTATTTCTGTAAAATTAGAATATTTAAAGTTAAATTCATCTCATTTTCAATAAATATTACTTACTTATAGCATACATATTAATATACAAGCATTTCTTAACGATGGGTCCTGTAAGTCTATTGACGTATTTATAAGTTTCGAGGTGATGACAGTTAATCTGGCTGACCAGGATTGACATAGATTTACGAAATCTACGAGAACGCATTATTTTTAGTTTTTAATTACATAGTAATTTATACAAATTGACATATTTTCAGTAATTATTTAATATTTTGTTGACTTTTAGCTAGATGCTTTATGAAATTTGCGTTTCGTCTATAGGTTCTTAAGTTAATTAAACAAAATATTAATTAATTGAAGTATAGCCCAAACTAAAATAAATGCAAAAAATACACATATTTAGTGAAATAGTAATTAAAAAAAGTAAAAAGTACTTTGAAATTTTTAAAGGATTATTTACAAAGACGTTAATGATGAAACAACTGAATAAGGGAAGTCAAAAATTGAAGTGCGTCAGACGGCACTTAAATGACGCAGTCTTTATAAGGATTATGTATTGTAAAGCTTTCATAGGTAGAAACGTTATACGCTATTTTCCTTTAATTAAAAAAAATATTGGGTTACAAATGACTGTTATGATCTTTTCAAATTTTCATTCGTAAATGTACTTTCCATTTAACAATATCACGAAACCCCCTGCTTGAAGCAATGCAGAATTTTAAACGAGTGTTTAATATCATAAATTATTTAATTAAAATTTAAAAAAAAATGAAAACAATTCTTGCGAAAACTAATTGTTCATCGAAAAATTTATTCTTCCTAAGACAATAGAGTACTTAAAATGTTATTTTGGAAAGCAATTAAAAGTTTTTCTAATTAAATAAATGGCATAGTTTTATTGCAGTTATTATTTTACAATTCAGACCATATTTTTCGTGAATGGGTTAACTGTTTTTTAATATATATATATATATATATATATATATATATATATATATATATATATATATATATATATATATATTATTTACTAGCTCCAAGGAGTCCCATTTTAAGTAATAAAAAATATTCCTGTCATAAAATTAATTTCTAAATTTTATGAAATTAAGTAAGTTGGTGGTAACATAGATAAAAATATATATATATTTTTTACCAAGATTTTCTAAAAATAATAAAAAAAAATAACAAATAATATCATTCATCCGCCAATGATTTGGTTTTTGCAAGAATTTCGATATCAATGTGATTTCACCGGAAAAGCGCAAAAAACTAACCTTTATCTTTGTTTCGTCTGATGACGTAAACAGAACAAGATTTTTAACCAAAATTTCGGACGTGCTAGAAAGGAGTAAAAAAATTCAAAAACTAATAAAAAAATATTTGGTCATTCTTCTTAATAACGACATAAACATTTTGATGAGAAAACTTTGTTTTCATTGAGTTTGGGTCATTTTTGTATTATGCTATGCTGTTTTTTACGCGGCCTAGTGGAGGTATCTACTTTTAAAGTGATGAATAAAAAGTAAAAGAAAGAAAGTAAACGTAAAGAAGTTAACTAAAGTAATAAAGAAAGATGAAAGAAATGAAGAGAAGGTAAAGAAGTTAACTGCAATAAAGTAATAAAGAAAGAAATAAGAAAAATGAAAGAAAGGAAGAAAAGGTAAAGAAGTTAACTGCAATAAAGTAAGAAAGAAAGAAAGAAGAAAAATGAAAGAAAGGAAGAAAAGGTAAAGAAGTTAACTACAATAAAGTAATAAAGAAAGAAAGAAGAAAAATGAAAGAAAGAAAGCAAAGGTAAAGAAGTTAACTGCAATAAAGTAATAAAGAAAAAAAAGAAAAATGAAAGAAAGGGAAGAAAAAGGTAAAAAGTTAACTGCAATAAAGTAATAAAGAAAGAAAAAGAAAAAAATGAAAGAAAGGAAGAAAAGGTAAAGAAGTTAACTGCAATAAAGTAATAAAGAAAGAAAGAAGAAAAATGAAAGAAAGGAAGAAAAGGTAAAGAAGTTAACTGCAATAAAGTAATAAAGAAAGAAAGAAGAAAAATGAAAGAAAGGAAGAAAAGGTAAAGAAGTTAACTGCAATAAAGTAAGAAAGAAAGAAAGAAAGAAAGAAAGAAAGAAAGAAAGAAATAAGAAAAATGAAAGAAAGGAAGAAAAGGTAAAGAAGTTAACTGCAATAAAGTAATAAAGAAAGAAAGAAGAAAAATGAAAGAAAGAAAGCAAAGGTAAAGAAAATTAAAAGAAAGAATAAAATAAGGGACGAAAGAGGAAAATAATCGAAAGAAACAATGAAAGAAATGAGGAAAATGAAGAAAGAATTATGTAAAAAAAAAAAAAAGAAATGTGAAAATGAAAAGTTAAGCCAAGATGAATAACAAGTGAAAAAAATGAATAAAGAAAAATAAAAGATAGAAATAAACAATAAAATTAAACAAAGAAAAAAAAAGGAAAATTTATAATAAACACATAAAGAAAGAAAAAGAATAGGGAGAAGAAAGAGAGACGATGAAAAAAAGAATGAATGAAGAGGGAAGGAAGTAGAAAGAGAGAAAGACAAAAGAAAGAGAAATAAAGGAAGGGATGGAGGGAGGTAGGGGGGAGAAAGCAAAAATAAATGAATGAAAAATGGACGAACGAAGAAAAAGTGAAAGATGAAAGAAGAAAGTAAAATGAAAAGGAAAAAAAAGGAAGAGGAAAAAGATAGATATAAAGCAAAGAAGCCAGGAAGAAAGCGAAACGTGAAAAAGAACGAAGAATAAAGAACAAAGAAAGAAAGAACGAAGAAAGAAAGAAAATGAACGAAAGGAAGAAAGAAAGAAAGGAAAAAAAAGAAAGAAGTAGGAAAGAAGTAAATAGAAAAAGTAAAAAGAAAAAGAAAAACAGAAAGAAAAAGAAAAAGAAAGAAATGAGAAAGCAAGCATGAAGAAATGGGGAAAGAAGAGAGAATAAAGTAAAAAGAAAAAGAGACATAGAATAAAGAAAAAGAAAGAAATAAAGGAAGGAAGGGAGACAGAAAAAATAAACGTATGTAGGAAGAAAGAAAGAATGAAGAAAGAGTGAAAGATGAATGAAGAAAAAAAGAAATAAAAAACAAAATAGTAAAAAAAAGGGAGAAAGCAAAAAAGAAAGAATAATGAAAGAATGAATGAAGAAAAATAGAAAGAAAAATTAATAAAGTAAAAAGAAAGAGAGAAAGAAAATAAAAAAGAAAGAAAAAAAGAAAAAAAAAGCACTGAAGAAAGGGAGAAACAAAGAAAAAAAAGTAAGGTAGAACGATTGCAAAGGAAAAGGAAAAGAAAGAAAGAAAAAAGAAAGAAAAAGAAAGAAAGAATGAAAGAAAGAACAATAGAAAAAATAAAATTAAAAATGAAAAAAGTTAAAAAACAAAAATATATAAAAGAATCTATAAAGAAAGAAACTTTTCTGAAACATAAGTTTGGTAAATCGAAGAGTGAAACAAAAGTGGAACGAATAACAAACAAAGAAACATTAAAAATAAAAAAAAACATACATAAAAAACAAAGAATATAAATAAATCAGACAAAAAAAAAATGAAGAATATCAGAAGATGTCCGGCATTATAAAATCGCGCGAAAAAACTAACGGTCATATAAATGGAGTAAGTCGGGGTACTTTGGGCATTTGCTAATAAGTAGTTCTTGTAGAAGCTGCTCGGAAAATTAAAGAAGATATTTGAAGAATGAAACAAAGGAAGAAATAGAAGAAATATGAAAGTTCAAGAAGCAAAAATACAATTAATATAACAGGCATCGAATAAGATGAGGTGTTGAAAGAAATATACGAAAATGGAGCGATGGGTTTAAAGTTAAAAAGAAAAAAAAAGAAAGATTATGAGAAAGAGAGATCGAAATGGAAGGTAGAATCAAGAGAAAGATAAAAAAATAATATGAAAAAAGAAGTTGGAAGAATTATGGGAAGAAGAAAATGACGGACAGATTGAAGAAAAGTGTATCGGACATTTGAAGGTAGAAACATCTTTTCATATGACGTTATGATAGATGACTGGCCTTTTTTTATTGTAAGCAGTAAAAGACAATGAATATAAACGTCTAGAATGGACTAAGCTTTACTGGGGAAAAATGGAAAAAAAATATCAAATCTGATGGGTAAATATGAAAAAATTCAAACAAGATGTAAAATCTTTTCGTCCATCTTGATATTTTGTTTTCTGTTTATTTTCACTTAATTTGTTATGCCGCTTTCAGTATTTTTTAAAAAAAATATGAATTTATTTCCTTGCTTTTTTTTTTTTAACCATTCTTTACTTTTTGGTAAACTTGCTATTTTTTTTCTCTTGTATTTCATGTTTTGGGCTTTTTTACCCTTTCGATCATTTTAGTGCTACCTCTCAATGATTGCGAGACAGACTTCCAGCCTTCGTGTTTTTCCCGTCTAACTTCAATTCTGTCAAGGATCTATTCTGAATTTATTCCGTTTTTGCTTTTCCATACGGCATCTATCTATCTATCTATCTATCTATCTATCTATCTATTCTGTTTCATCTATCTATGTCATCTGTTTCTATCTATCTATCTCATTCATCATCTATCTATCTATCTATCTATCTATGTCAATTTGATTTATCTATCATTCATTCATCTATCTATCTATCTATCTATTCATCTATCTATCTATGTCAATCTGTTCCTGTCCATGTAACTATTTATCTACTCCAGTCTTATTCATATTCTATCTATTCATTCATCTATCTATCTATCTATCTATCTATCTATCTATATCTGTCTATCTATCTGTTCCTATCTATGTAAATTTGATTCTATCTATCTATCTATTCATTCATCTATCTATCTATCTATCTATCTATCTATCTATGTTAATCTGTTCCTGTCCATGTAACTATTTATCTACTTCAGTCTCTTCACATCTATCTATCTATCTATCTATCTATCTATCTATCTATCTATGTCAATCTGTTTCTATCTATCTATCTGTCATTCTGTTCCTATCTATGTAAATTTGATCCTATCTATCTATCTATCTATCTATCTATCTATCTATCTATCTCTCTAATTTTACAACTGCATTAAAATACACTTGTAAAATCAACACATATTTTTTTCCTGCCTGTATTTGTTAATCACTATTCTTTCTCATACTGTAAAACAGCAGCAATTAAAATCCAGCCCACTTAAACTACGACCAAACAACAAACTTAAAACTTTTTCAAAATACTGGTCCACTTTACATATTGCAGTTTCCAAAAGAAATGAAACAAAGTTCAAAAATATAATTAAAAAATATTTACCGCCATAACGAACAGCTGGTTTATTCTTGAAAAAAAATGTCCTCTTTAACTACAAAGCGTCATTTAAGAAAAACCATTAAATTTTGTCATTAAATGAACCAAAGTGATTAGTTCTTTTTAATCATTTAACTCCTAGCAAGGCGAAAATGCCACTAGTTTGCAGAGGTTCGCAGGGAATGAAAATGAAAAAGAAGAATGAAAATAGGGCGGTTTGAGGAAAGGACAAAAGGACAACGGAATTTATGAAGACAGCAGATGGCGATTGGCTTTTCATTTACATTTTTGAAGATTGTAGTTATCAAGGAATCAAATAAACGGAAGGAAGTTCCACAGGAGGGAAGTGCGAAAAATGAAACTGTTGGAGTAGAATTGGCAGTTGCATTTAACTATTTCAACAGTAAAAGGGTGAGATCTAGATTACAATCTAGTAGCAGGCTTAAATTCATGTAGAGGGGGGCGCACCATGGAAAAAAGATCGTCAGAGCAGTTGCTATGAAAATATTTGTAGAACATATAGCGTAAAACAAAGAAAACAAAACAAACATGGTTTATCCAAATTCTTTACCTTTTTGATAACATAAAGAATCTCAAATTGACGAAAATAATGGTTAAAATGTCTATACTTCACTCAGAATTGGGGTTAATGTCATAGCGTTGGATGTAAACCAGTCTAACATACTGGGAATATTCCAAAATGTGGGGAAAATAAGGGAAACCATTCCAGTCTCTTTGCCAAGAATACATGGCAATTTCCAAGATCATATGGTTGGATGAACCAAGTTTTCATGTGAAAAGAAACAAACAAAAAAACAAAACACTATTTTCACTCATGATAAACACCATATTGAGTCCATTGTCAGGCTGCTTTTTCGTGGGTTAACAGCTCTCGAGACAACTACTGGGTAGATTCTATTGAAACATATAACCTCACTTGGTAAAATAACTATGCCGACACTACCCTACAAGCATGACGCACAGTGGCCCACTGGCGAAGCACCGATGGCAACACTAGCGGTCCTCTAATGGCAGGCAACGTCAGGTCAGCAGAGGGAAAAATTGCCAAGACGAACACGCCGGTGGTCCGACAGCGGGCCACCATCAGTAAACGCATATTGGTCTCTTGCGTGTATATATATATATACAGAGAGAGAGAGAGAGAGAGAGAGAGAGAGAGAGAGAGAGAGAGAGAGAGACCTACACGCATTCGTCGAAGCTGTATGTTTATAAACAGTAATTCGGACTTGCTAACTAGACGCTTCTTTGTGGCTGAATGGATAACAGCACATCAGATCAAATGATGGTTCCAATTAGGATTACAGGTTCGATTCCTGTCGGAGTTAGATATATTTTCTGCGAATTTCTCAAACATCAGGCCGGTAAATGTAATTAATACTGTTTAATTAAAAAAAAAAAACGAACATCAGTTAGGACTTTCTCGTATAAACGAGAGACACTGGTAGTTTCAAAATCTTGGGGGAAGAATATTTTGAAATAATTTTTTGCACTCTAGCTAAATTCATCTATAATCTTTTTCTTTCCATCATTTTTCTCTTTACATATCCAACATTGAGATATAAAAGTGAACACTGAGTTCAACCACTAGAGGCGACAGTCTGTTATATACTTATGACGCAAGGGGGTTACTGTGAGTGGGTGGGAAGAAAACACTTTAGTGATAAGACAGGACGATAATAAAACATAAAAAAAGACGGTGATTGAAAAAGCATGAAAGAAAACGGAAGAAATTTCCACAGACACTATCAGAATAGTACATACACTTGGAACTAGATATTTCAACTCTCTCTCTCTCTCTCTCTCTCTCTCTCTATATATATATATATATATATATATATATATATATATACACCTAGTGAGCCAGACAAACCTACCTAGGTTTCACCTAAACGGATCGTCAGGGAAAGTCTGGCTCACTAGGTGTATCTAGGTCTGCTCTACGGATGTATTGAGCTCTTTTGTTAGTTAGTTGTTACTGTATCAGGGTTTTTTCTTTGGGCTTCAGACCTGCATCTGTGCGATTTTTTTGTCGGCAGAAGTCCATGTTTGTAGCTCTTTTCTTTTTTTTAAAACCTTTTTTCCCTCGAGATTGATTTGATTAGCAAATCAAAAATTGAGGGTTTTTCGAAACGAGTCTTATCTATATATATATATATATATATATATATATATATATATATATATATATATATATATATATATTATAAATTAACTGATTTAAAATATGTTTTCTTCGCTACACAGGAATTACCATATTTCAAAAAACCGAAGTTAAAAACTTAAAATTTAATTATATAATTAAATTAAAAGCATTAGTTCTGTTTCATCTTAAAGCGAATTTTGGAATAATTTATTTTTAAAATTACTGAGTTTTAAACGCACATACAATCCATAATTTTTTGTTTCCAAGGATACAGAGAAAGAACACCGGATTATATATATTACTGTTTGTTAGCAAGGTCAATTTTACAGCTTTTAAACTACAATCTTCCATAAATCTCTCACGTACATTCATATCTGCTCAAAGCGTACCCAAATGTAAATAAATGACGTCACACATTATGAAATGGACTGACAGTTATTTTAAAATATTTTTATGTTTATATATTCTTTTCTTTTTCTTTTTTTGCTAACCTAACGATCCTCGGTGGCTCAATTGGTTAAGGCACGTCATATATGACGGTTTCGTATAGGATGCATGTTCGATTCCTGTCGGAGGACGAAAAATTTCTATGAAAATTTCTCGGACATTCACGTAAATGTCATTGATATCGTTTATTACAAACAGAACATTTACTTAAATATTTGTATCTATAAAAAGAATGTATAAACATAAAAAAAATGTCTTTATATATATAAATAAAAAGAAAGAACAGTAAGATATATAATCCGGTGTTATAGATATTTTTATTTTTACAAAATAGTGCTCAATGTAAATTTAGAGAGCATTAATATTATAAATTAATTGATTTAAAATATGGTTTATTTCGCTTTCTAACCATGTTTCAAAAAACATGGTTAGAACTGTGTAGCGAAATATACCATACTTTAAATCAATTAATTTATAATATATATAATTTATATACCATACTTTAAATCAATTAATTTATAATATATATATTATATATATATGTATAAAGACATTTTTATGCGATTCGGAAAGTTATGAATCCTCTTCTTCTCCCTCCACCCTAGCTATAAGTAAATTGCAGGACAGACAGCGTTCTATAACGTTGATTGGCAACCGTTCTAGAAGAAGGACAACACTGAATTCAAATCATGTGCAGGGTTGTTTGGGGACCTTTTCTGTACTCGGCTCTTAGATAAAGTGTGGTTCATTCTACACAGATGATCTGGTCATCAACCCGCTGTAAGTTTTTCCGGTACTTTCCAAGAAGTCACTCCTCTCTCTCTCTCTCTCTCTCTCTATCTATCTATCTATCTATATATATATATATATATATATATATATATATATATATATACACGTACACACACCAGCACTTTTATCCATTGGGCCATGTTGACAAAAACTTTGGTTGAAGTAATCCAAAAAGTGGCTTCACCCAAAGATTTGTCAGTTCGATACCTGTCTTCAGCAGAGGTGAACAAAATAATTGGAAAGTTTAGTTACAAAAGTTAATTATGTGAATGTATGTTATCCAGAAGAAGTATAGCACCTAAAACTAGAACAATCTACTCCTGTGGACTAAATAAAGGGTTCGGTTCTAAATTCCAAAGTATAAAACCTGACGAAGCCCCCGGAGCATACAACGACCGAAACGTTGTGAATATGACAATAAAGACAAGGTCACTAGCCCGAACAATGTAAATCGTGTATATTGAGCCTATAGGTAAACAATCGTGAACCTTGAGCCTATAGGTAAACAACCGGTTTTTAAAAAAAATGGAAAAACGTGGGATCTTTTCTCCGTCTTAACTCAGGGATGGAAGCGACGCGAGGAAATCAGTCAAAAACAGACGCAAAACGATGGGTTCCAAAACAAAACATTTATTTATAAATAAACAGGTTAAGAAAGAAAAAGGAAATTCGTTTAACAAAGGGGAAAGACATACTGAAAGAACAGAAGGTACGAGCGAATACATACATAAATACATACATACACATATATATATATATATATATATATATATATATTATTTATTTTAAAAATATTGAATTAAAACTACATTAAAGTTCTCAAGTTTCAAAAAGTACTTTTAATTCAATTTAATTCAAATAATTATATTGAATATAATTATTTTGTTTTGAAACATGAGAACTTAAAGCGTGTTGAATCATATTTTAAATAAATAATTATATTTATGCTATACTTTTTGTATCGAGCACTATTTTTTGGATTATTTACCTAACGAGTTCTTTCCTATTTTCTATATATTTTTTGCACACACACACACACACACACACACACACACACACACACACACACACACACACACACACACACACATATATATATACACACACACATATATATATATATATATATAAAGATCAGGCCAATAAATCACCTTATCTGCCTTGACGGGTCAGTCGAGATGATTTCTCCACACAGAGTTCTAATTGATCGAAGCGATCTTATGCTAATACAATATTTTGTCGTCCGGCAATTTTGCTGGAATTATTTTCTTTTGGAAATGGTCGGGGATCCACAGCATCGCGTGAATTGGTCAATTCAGTTTGGTAGCAATCCTTTCATCCTCTTGTCGACAGACTTTGCTGTCTTCA